GGCCGAGTCCGGCCAGCGCCCAGACGCCCGAACCATGAACAACACACGGCGCCGTCGCGCGGCTGGTGCGTTCGCGGCTTCCGGAGGTGTGCAGCCACCGTGCTGCCATGAGAGGCACAGACAGTGACAGTGACACAGACATGGCAATTTTCGGAGGTCCGCGCTGGGTTCTTGGATCGGCGCGCACCAGGGAGGGGGCTCCAGCGCCGATCCAAAAAGTCAGCGCGGAGCTCCGAGTTGCTACCCATCGGTCGGAAGGAGTAGGTAGAAACATGAAGCAGGACGGGGTTGAAAGTAGATTGGGTTCCGTTCGCCCCCCTAGGGAGGACGGAAAAGGCGAAGCCGCTCGATCATGGAAACAGGAGGGTGCTTAACGTAGATGGGAACCTGGGACTCCAAGAATACCTACTTTCAAAGACCGATGGGTATGTCTGTGTCCTTGCCTGATCCCCGAAGTCAGGAACGCAGGTTTTCCTTCTGGTCGCGACGGGCCTGGGCTTAGGTCGGGCCTGTCCTCCTACAGGGGGGATTTCGGGCGAAAATATTGAAAGTATTAGAACATCACTCCCGAAATATCCAACAATAGTCAAAGCATCGCCCCCAGACTATATGTTGCATCCTTTTGAATTGTCCTCCTGCAGAGGGACACGCCCGACTCAAGCCTGTGGGGCCACCATGAAAATGACACGACCCAATCTCGAATTTGACGCGAACTCTCGCTGAAGACGTCCCGCGAAAGCTGGGCCGTCAAGATCCGACACGCGCTCGTCAAAAAATGGCGGCCAACCAGAGTTCCGGCTTACTCGAGTCTCACGTTTCCCCGCCAAGAGCCGTCCTCATTTCAGCGTCTTGGCTCCGGGTCCTCACCTTGGGTCGGGCATGTCCTCCTACAGGCGGATTCTGTAAGAAAAATGCACAAAAAAAGTTCGGACATGAAACAAGGGCCCCTCGACTATTTTCTGACTCCTCGTAGAACCTACCTCCTGTACAGGGACATGCCCGACTTCATCCCCACCCGTCCTAAAACACATGCCCCCAGATGCGCTCCAGGGCGCGCCCTGGCCAGGACCTCGAGTAGAGGCCTCCTAGATGGGATCCGAGCAGATGGGGTTGGAGGATCTCGCCGCTGGCGACGTCGGCGGTGCATCGGCGACGTCGGCGAGGAGAAAACTGGGCCCCACATCGAGCCGCATCGCCGATGCATCGGCGATGCGGCGCGACCCTCCGACCCCATCCACTCCGACCCCATCTAGGAGGCCTAGATCGAGGCCAGCGCGCGCCCGTGGCGACGACGCCACGCATGGGGCCCCACGGGCAGGGCGAGGCGCGCCAAGCCACCCCCCGGGCCGTCGCCGCCGCCGCCGTCGGGACCTCCGCTCGCCGCGCCCGGCCGCGACGAGGCAGAGCCTCCAAGAAGAGCGAGCGTCAGGTGGGGCATGTCGCCCTACAGGCGGATTTTGGAGGTAAAGAATATATATATATATATATACATACATATACATATACATATATATATATATATATATATATATATATATGTGTATATATATATATATGTGTATGTATGTATGTATATATATATATACACTAGAACCATCGCGCGCTTCGCGCGCGCTCAAGCTCTGGCTAGGGTCATGACCACCGTCATCACAGTCATCCTCATCTTCGTCATCTTCATCGTCATCGTCATGGTCACCTTCACCATCACCATGGGGCATGCTGGAACGCTTGCCGGGAGCCTTTTTGGAAGCATTGTGGCAGTCTCTGGAGCCTCTCCGGGCCTTCCATTAAAGTCCTTTGCGACCTTTGTTGGCCCGTCTGACGGCCCATTGCAGCCGTTCCGGGTCCCTCTTGGCTCGTCGTGGGGAGCTCAGCCCGTCTTGGGGCCCTCACGGGGCCCTCTCCGACGATGTAGGAATCCTGTTGTGGCCCCCTCGGGCTTCCTGGGGGCTCTCTTGGGCCGTCTTGTAGCTCTTCTGTGCCGCTTGAAGCTCTCTTCAGCCCATCTTGGAACCCTCTTTGGGGTCTCTGGGGCCGTCTGGGGCCCATCTTGGTAACCTCTTGGGCCGTCGCGACCGCAGGTAGAACTGAAAAGCGAAGCTCCCAGAAATATATGTTTTTCTATGGGAAATGTTTGAACTTTGCCTTTGGAGGGCCTTCTCAGCGGCCTCTTGGACAGTCGTGGGGGGGTCCTTTTTGGCCTTTTGTGGCCCGTCTGGGAGCCCAGTTCGCTGTCCCAAGCCACTCTTGGCATGTCATGGGTAGCTGAGCCGTCTTGGGGCCCTCATAGAGCCCTCTCTGACCATGTAGGGATCCTCTCTTGAGGCTGTCTTGGAGCCCTCTTGGGGGCCTCGTGGACCGTGTGGCGCCGTTTTGGGGAGCCTTTGGGGCCGACGTGGCCGCCGATGGAACATAAAAAGCGAAAATCATAGAAATATACGCTTTTCCATAGGAAATGCAATTTTTTCCTGCTTGGACCCGGGAGCCTTTTCAGCGGCCTCCTGGACCGTCCTCAGGGAGTCCTGGTCGGCCTTTTCTGGACACTCTGGGAGCCCAGTTCGGCCGTCCCGGGTCCCTCTTCGCCCGTCATGGCGACCTGAGCCTGTCTTGGGGCCCTGGGAGACCCTCTCCGACCATGTCGGGATCCTCCGGTGGCCCCCTCGGGGTTCCTGGGTACTCTCTTGGGCCGTGTTGGAGCTCTCTTGTGCTGCTTGAAGCTCTCTTCAGGCCGTCTGCGGGCCCTCTTGGGGGCCTCTTGGGCCGTCTGGGGCTTATTTTGGGAGCCTCTGGGGCCGTCGCGGCCGCTGGTAGAACTGAAAAGCAAATGTTCAAGCCTCTGGGGGTCCTGGGCCCCTTCTGAACCCTCTTGGAGCCCTCAAGGCCCTCCCCGGCCCGCCATGCGAATCAGTGGTCGCAGTTCTGGTCCCTCCCTTGGCCTACTCCGATGCACACACACACACACACATATATATATATATATATATAAATGTATATATATATATATATATATATGTATTAGAAGATCCGGCCAAATTCGTAAATCGTCGAAAATCGTCCCCTCACTATGTCGTTGATTCTTTCGGAATGTTCCTCCTTCAGAGGGACACGCCCGACCTACAGCGAGCACCCCGAACAAAACGAGCAGGATGGTCCCTTCGAAACGACGCCGCCCTGGGGGGCCCCGCTGCGGGGGCGGCGCCGGCCTGCGAGTCGTCCAAGGAGTTCAGGCGCGCGCCCAGGCTCGCGACCTGCGCCTGGGCAGGGTGCGCGGCGCGCCGCGCCGCCGCCTGCCCAGGCCTGCTTCTTGGCGCGCAGAGGGCCCGTTCCAGAGGGCGGCGGTGTTTCTCGGCAGGAGGAGGAGGAGGGGGAGGAGGAGGAGGAGGAGGAGGAGGAGGGGGAGGAGGAGGATGCCTCCCGCCGCCGCTGCCGAGGCCAGAGGACGCCTTTTTTCGGGGCGCCGCGCGCCCGAGCAAGCTTCAGAGAAGGTGCACCGGCACAGATGATTGGACAGCGGGCGGAGGCGAGCCAGACGACCAGCTGCACAACACTGAGTCGAGGGTACAACTAAACGCGCGAGGGAGGGAGGGCTGGGAGCGCAACAATGAGACCTCAAATGGCAATGGAATGGCAAAGGAATGCTGCACGGAACCATGGCCATGAAATGCGGCCTCTCCTGCTGTGACGTCTGGCAATCTACAACGAAGTAGTGGGCATGCCTCCCGCCGCCGCTGCCGAGGCCAGAGGGCGCCTTTTTACGGGGCGCCGCGCGCCCGAGCAAGCTTCAGAGAAGGTGCACCGGCACAGATGATTGGACAGCGGGCGGAGGCGAGCCAGACGACCAGCTGCACAACACTGAGTCGAGGGTACAACTAAACGCAAACCTGCCAAACAATCCTTGGTCATCTCGATAAACTACTGAATTATTCACCGTTAAACAAAAAGACTGGTCAATGCAATCGTCTTAGAACTGCCATGAGCGTGATCGAAGCAACGAGCGAGGGCCTTGCACAAAGCAGGAGGATACTGCTGAGCGGCTTTCGTCTTAAAGCCGCTTCCCTGAGCGAGGCCATGAATTGATGTGTGCTTTTTTCCCGTGCGAGAGCAGAGCTTGCCATGACACTCACGAGCAACAGACTGCAGAGATACGCGATCCCCTAAAACCTTGGTCGGCTTCTTCCACGGCGTCCCCCATTGGCACATGTCCGTATACACGAGCTGGCTAGTACTCCATGTGGCAGCTTTTTTGAGACGAGGCAGCAGCCAGAGACGCGAACGTGCAGGATTCTCCAGCGCCACTGGGCGCTGGAGCAAGTGCATCAACTCAAAAATACTGCAACAGAAACCGGCAAGAATATTACCAATTCGAATGGCTTGCACATCGGCGGGATGGGTGCCCTCAGGAAGCCCCATCAGATGCTGGTCAGATCGGAGCCGCGAAGGGAGAATTGGTCCAGCTTGACCCAGCTCTCGCAGCGGCCCTGTGTCCCTGGCCCTCGTCCACGTCTGGCACGGCGTCCCCATGAAGACTCCCCAAACCTGTCCGGCCAGGATCCAGCCTCTCACGAGCTTCTGGGCCTTCCTTGCCGAAAGGTCCCAGGCAGGCCCACGGCAGATGTCCCACTCGAGCACGACGAAGCCCCTCTCGCGAAGCGCCCGCGAGAGCCCGCCATGCCCGCTGAACAGCTCTAGAAAGACCTGCGGCTGGACCAGGCGGGCACCCCGGCTGGCCAAGGCGCGAGCGAAGGCCTCGCGAGGCAAGTCGGCAGCTGCGTCGCCGCCTCGACCGCCCTCGCGCGGGCGCCCGGGGACAGCCGCTGCAGCTGCTCGCCCACGCGCCCCTCCTTCTGGTAGCGCCTCACGCTGGAGTCGCAGTGCCAGCGACCTCTCAGCTTGATCTCCTGCAGCGTCCGCAGCTGGCGCGCTCGATCGTGGCTGGGCCCGCTGTGTCTCAGCATATACAGCTCCGGGCCCAGAGCCTGGACCCCTGCGCGCCCCGCCGCCTCCCGAAACTGGACCACCAGGTCGGCGTGCCGGAATGCGAACAGCGGCTGCCCGGCCGGCGTCTCCCTCTTGAGGTAGGCGAGCACGGGCACGAGGAAGTGGAACAGCGGCAGATCGAACACCACGGTCTCGTCGAACTCCCTTGTCTTGCTGCTGATCTCCTCCTCGCTCGGGCGCAGCACGATCGCCCAGTTCGCCACGTGGGTCCCCGGCACAGGCGGCACGAGCATCTCGGCGGTAACCCGCTGCAGCTCGCTGGGGCGCAGGTAGCAGTGGAAGGTGATGATCGTCCAAGCCGCCATCGCCCAGAAGCCGGTCAGCAGCAGCTCCAGCGCGATCAGCGCGACGACCTCCCACGGCAGCGGCAGCCGCGCCCGCCCAGGGGCGAGCCGCTTCCAGCCCTTCAAGGCCTGCGCCGAGCGCGGAAGGGAGAGCCCTCCCGACTTTGCGAACTGCGGCCGGAAGTACTTCACCGCCGCTAGCCCCTTGGTGCCCCTCTGCGCCAGCTCCCCGAACGAGTACTCCTGGTCCATCCAGCTGGCGACCACGAAGTCCGTCTCGTCGTCGCCCGGCTCCGCCTGCAGGGAGCCCGCCGGACGCAGCCGCAGCCACATGCGAAGGATGTCCTGCCACAGACCGTCGTACTGGGCCACGGTCTTCGGAGTCACCGACGCCCGCTGCAGCAGCGATCCAGGGCCTCGGAGCGCCGTCCGACGAGCAGCAGCAGTAGCTCCCTGCCCGCGCCTCGCAGCTCGCGCCATCTTGCGGCTCCGGGCCGCGGGTGGTGGCGGCGCCCGCTGCTCCTGGCGCGACTGGGCCGCGACTGCACTCAGGTGCCGCCCCCTCCGAGGCTGAGGCCGCTCGGCCAGCGGACCGCCTCGCCGCAGGGCGTGCGGGCCGGCGGGCGCCCCGCAGAGCGCCGACGGCGGGCTCGCGGACGGCCAGCTCGGCGAGCTCGAGGCCGGCGCTGCGGCAGTCGGCCTGCTGGCTGCTGCGCCCGGCGTCCCGGACGGCCCACTGCTCGAAGCCCTCGGCAGTGTCCGCCGCGGCGCTGTCGAGCCAAACCCCGAGGGGGATGTGGCGGCGCGACGGCGCATCGGCGACGTTCCGTTCAGACGGAATCCAGCGCACCGAGGCCTGCACCGCGCCCGCCAGGCACCAGGCGGCCCATTGCCGGGCGACGCGGAGGACCCCCCCAGCTGAGGAGCGGCCCTTCTCCATAGCACACACGAGCCCCATGTTATCGCAAAGGAAGAAGATACGCTTACCGAAAGACTTCGAGTCGCGAAGTGCGTGCCTAAGAGAATGAACGAGCGCCCGACCTTCGAGGACGATGATCTTCTCGGACCGGGCCCACCCTCCGCTCGACACGACCTGCCACCTCCCCCCGTGCAGCTCCTCCTCCACCTCCGGGACCTTCCACAAGTTACCCTCTGGATCCTCCACCGCCACCTCCGGCGACACGACGGGCTCCACCTCCGGCGACACGACGAACTCGGCGATCGGCTCGACCTTCGCGGTGTCGGCGGTCGGCGGGTCGCTCTGCTCGAAGAGGCAATCGCGAGGTCGCGAAGCAGCTGCTCGTCGAAATCGCCACCTCTCCCCGTGCCTCCCAGCACCACGAATTGCTCCCAGGTCGGCCTCCTTCTGGCACACGCCCCTCCCCTCCTCGCTAGCGTCGCTCGCGTAGACCCTGGGAGACCAGGTGGCCCGGAGATCAGCCCAGGCCAGGGGGATCAGGGAGGCGGCCCAACGAAGCTCACGGCGGACAGACGGCGGCAGCTTCATCACCCGATCGAAGTACTTCCTCGAGAAGGCATACACAGGACTAAATACGGCCAAGAGCGGGCGCCTCGACATAGCAATGAACGCGAAGTGACCAGCAATCTTCCCTACTTGTCGTCCCGAAGCGTGCCCACGAGCAAGCAAACCCTGGATCCCAAGACGAAGCCTCCAAGCACGACGACTCTTCGGCCTCGCAGCTCCACGCTCTCCGTCGAAGACCCAACCCAGCTGCTCAGACACAGAGGCGGGAAGATCAGGATCGTGAAGAGGGAGCCCCGCGCTGCTCAAGGCCTCTTGGGCCGACCTCAGGAGGGCCGCAGGCCTGTCAGGATTCACGCCAAAGGAAATGAAATTGTCAACATAGGCTGTGTAGGCCCCGTCCTGGATGGGAGGCGTCGGCATACCATCGACCACTTCGGGAACGTTCTCAAACCCTCCCTTCTGGAGTAAGATATTTCTGTGCACTTTCTGGCAAAAGTCGAGCGCATGCGTCCAGCCCATGGGCAAAACGGCCAAGCACGGGCGCACCCAAGCGCGGCCTGGAACTGGACGCCCGCCCAGCTCACGCACTCCGAGCTGCGCTGCCCGAAGCCGCGGGAGCGCGAAGAGGTGCCGGAGCTCCGGCGGCAGGCCCATGTTGTAGAAGGCGTCCGCTATGTCGACTCCCGCCGTCCACAGCGCCTCGCCCGGCGCCAGCTCGATGGAGCTGAAGCTGCCCCCGGACGCCAAGCTGGTCTTGTCGGGCTCCGCGAACCTGAAGTTGCTGCCCCTGCAATCGATCACCAGGCGCTGGCGACCACCCTTCTTCCAAGCGGTGAATAGACCGACTTCCTCAAAATTGCCCTCATCGACCCTGAACTCCAGCATGCCACCGTCCCTCGTCCTCTCGACGAAGGCCAGGTAGGCCGCGGGCTGCCGCAGCACTGGATCCAGGTAAGGGCGTGCGAAGCCAGCCTCCTTCTTAAAAATCTCGGCGCTTTGAATTGGCAAAACCTTCGAAGTGATGAACCTTCGCACGATGTCTGGACCGCCGTCTCCCAACAACTGGCTCAGGGGCACAGGCGTACCGCCCACAGCTGGCAGAGACACGAGGTCGTGCGCGAAGGGGGCCACCGTGACGGGCTCGCCGTCGGAGTAGCCGGCGCCAACCTGGAGCTCCCGGAGGGCCACCTCGGTCGACAAGTCTGGAGGAATGGAGCCCATCGCCGCACAGCTATCGGCGAGATGCTCCAGGCAAAGCTGCTGCATCCTGTTGGGCCCCTGGCCAGCACGGCGCGGCGGGTCATCAGAGCCGGCATCCAGCTGGTTGAGCGCCACTACTAGCTCGGCCACGAGCTCACCCTGCAGCGTCCTGTTGGCGCGGCGACGCCGCGCTGCGCGACCGCCGCCGCCGCCGGCAGCAGCCTGCGCGCGACGCCAGTCAGGGACTGGCAAGGGCAGGAGCGACCGCTGCATGCGGTCGTCGCCTCCGCCCACCACCTCTTCTGCATTGCCCCCGGGTCGAGGCAGTCCCGGGGGCGGGCCCAGCATCATGACTTCGGGTGAGGAGCGTCCCGGCCGCCCTTGTTGGCCTTCTGCTCCTCCCTCAGCTTCCTCGCGTTCTTCTTGATGCTGTGGATCCGCTCCAGCTCCTTCGACACCGAATCGAGCAGCTCGGGGCGCACCATCGAGGGAGACCTCGAGCCTCCCATGAATGCGAAGGCCTCCTCCAAGGGCATCCGCATGTTGTGCTGCTGCTGCTCCGCGCTCCTGTCGTCCCAGTAGTGCTCGATGAGCTGGAGCTTCCTGTAGCCGAGCTCCGCGCTCGCCAAGTTGTAGACGTCCAGGTGGTCGGCCGAGCCCATGGCCTCGATCATCTTGGAGATCGTCTCGTGCATGTCCACCCCGAAGTCGGTTGGGTTCAGCTTGCGCTTTGACTTCCACATCTCATGATGGAGGACCGGGCCCCCCTCCTTCACCTGGTACTTGGCACACCACTGCGCCGTCCTCGGCGGGGCTACGCCAAACCCCGGGACGGTTTCCTCGCGGCGGAGCTGCACCACCTCGCGCCACTCCCGAGAGTTGCCGCCTGGCTGCCCGGCTCCTGGCGGGATCTCGAGCGTGCGCGCGTCGCTCCCGCGGTACTCCTGCGTGAACCACGGGATCTCGCTGTCCTGCAGCAGCACCGCGCTGGCTCCGGCGCCGCCGGCGAGCGTGAGAAGCCCGCGGCGCCCCGCGCGGCCCACGAGGGTCGCTCCGCCCGGCACCCCGACGGCCACCTTCGTGCCGAACGTCACGGCGCCGTCGACGTCCTCGGCGGCCACCCAGTGCCAGCCTGGCGCGGGCTCCCCGCTCGGCTGCGGCGCAACCGCCGCGGTGTCTGGCACCGCCGGCGCCCGACCCGCTGGAGCAGCGGCCGCCCCGGGGGCGGGGGCCACGGCGGCTGGGGCCGCGGCTGCCGGCGCTGGCGCGGCCGCGGCCGCCGGTGGGGCTGGCGGGGCCGCCCCAGGAAACGCCAGCACGCCTGGGACCGCTGCCGCGGGGTAAGCTCCGGCCACGCTGCCCGGCGGGGGGCCCACGATCGCCGGGTCCGCCAGCGGTATGCTGCCCGCCGGCGCGCCTGCACAGTTCACCGCGGACAGCGTGAGGAGGAAGGGCCCAGCGGGCAACGGCCCGTACCCCAGCGCTGCCCCGCGGCGGAGGGCGCTCCAGATCTCGGCCGCCGTGGGCAGGCGGCGAAACCTGTAGACCCGGTTCTCCGGGATGCCTCCAGCCCTGCCGCCCTGCCCGTGCACGAAGTGGATCTCCATCACGTCCGCGTCTGGGTTCGTGGTCTCGCCGTAATCGTCGAAGTCCGGGGTCATCACGTACCCTGAGCGAAATATGTCCAGTCGCTCATGATACAGAGCGGGGCCTCCCACTCGATACCTGGTCAGGTGGAAGCCTCCAGCCAACGGCCCAGCAGCCATCTTCAATAGGCGGCGGCACCCGGCGTCCAACAAAGAGACCTCAAATGGCAATGACCTAAAGGTCTCAGCGCAACAAAGAGACCTCAAATGGCAATGGAATGGCAAAGGAATGCTGCACGGATCCATGGCCATGAAATGCGGCCTCTCCTGCTGTGACGTCTGGCAATCTACAACGAAGTAGTGGGCAGGAGGAGGAGGAGGAGGAAGAGGAGGAGGAGGAGGAGGAGGAGGAGGTGGAGGAGGAGGAGGGTAGGCTTCTCAGAAGGAGGCCACCTCTTAGAAGGCGCGGGCCCTAGATCCACAGACAAGGCCCGCGCCTTCTAGGAAGCAGGAGTGCTTCTAAGACCCCCCCCCTCTGCCCCTACCCCCTTCTGCGAGCCGCCAAACTATTGAGCGGCACTGCCGGGCAAATGCTGGACGCCGACGGCACACACAATTACACCGATCTACCTGGCCCCTGGCACGGCCTCCCAGAGACAGAAAACGGCAAGAAAGCAACAAACCCGCAGTGGGTAGCGTGGCCTGCCAAAAACGGCCAGGGAGGAGGGAAGAGAGAGAGGAAAGGAGGAGAGGAGGAGGAGGAGGAGCTGGAGGACGAGGAGGAGAAGGAGGAGGAGGAGGAGGAGGAGCAAAAGGAGGAGGATGGGGGAGATGAGGAGAGAAGGATCGGTGTCGAGATCTTTATGTGTTCTTCTGACCACCCCCTCCCAGAGGGCGCCAGCGACTCGGAGCACTCAGCTCCAGGACCAGACGTGGGCTATCGGGCTACTGTCGGCGATGAATGCGCGATTGGAGGTCGATGCGTCTTCCCTGAACCTATCCCCTCCTGACGCTGCCTTTGGTTCTCGGGTTCTAACTCAACTCTCCCGCGGCCGTTCGGGACGACTCGGGCACCCTAAGAACGCTCCGGCGAGGCGCAGCTGCTGGAAAGCATCCCGAGGCTCGAAACCCATTGAAACCGACGACAGCGCCCGAAAACCTCAGACCTCAGGGGATCTACTGACCTGGGTCCATCCAAACCTGGGCCAGTCAGGCTTTGCACGATCCTGCAGCATACTGCAGGATCCTGCGGCCAAGCCCGGGTCACTGCGACCCTAGCCCTGCAGATTCCTGCACGATCCGGCGCTCTGACCGACCATCGTTTGCCATGACCCCCGTCTCGTAAGCCCCGACCACCCCTCTTCCCGCAGGCGCCGGCTTTGGACGCCCGAAACGGGTACCGAAAGAATGAGTACAGTGCCCAACAGAAAATGTTGCCCCAGACCAACAGCGGCCGCTGTTGGGCCGGCGGCCTCCTGTCTCGAATGGACACCGGCCGCGGCGGCGCGGACAGCGAGTCCTGTTCAAGATGAGCAGGAACTGCTCTTGGGCATTGTACCCCTTCTTTCCGTGCCCATCTCGTTCGTGTCGGGGATCTTCTGACCCGGGTCAATCCAGACCTGGGTCAGCAGGAAACCAAAAACTGCAATGCAGGACAAAAAAACTGCAGCGCAGGTCCTCGCAAACCCGGGTCAGCCAATACGCGCGGCCGCCCCGCGGCCACGAGCGGCTCCCTAACCCGGGTCAGCCCGAGGGGGTCTTCGCAGGATCCTGCAGGATCCGGCGCCCTGGCTGACCCCCGTCTGCATTGACCCCCGTCTCTTAGGCTCCGATCGTGCAGATTCCCGCGGGCGCCGGCGACTCGTCGAACTTCAGGTCCGGGACGGGCGCCCGCATCGCCCCGCCGACGCTCCCCGGCCGCTGCGCGTCGGGCCTCCTGCGCGCGCGGGGGAGGAGGGCCCGCGGCGCGGCGCGCGGGGAGGGAGCGGGAGGGCGGGGAGGGGCGATGATGGGGGGGGGGCCCTCCTGCTCCTCCTCCTCCTCCTCCTCCTCTTCCTCCTCCCTTCCTCCCTTTTCCTCCTCCTCCTCCTCCTCCTCTTCCTCCTCCTCCTCTTCCTCCTCCTTTTCCTCCTCCTCCTCCTCCTCCTCCTCCTCCTCCTCCTCAGGGGAAGGCCTCCGAAATGTGCGTTGCTATCTCAAGGAAAGCCGCCCGGCTCTCCGGGGCAATGAAGCCGATCTCAACCACTTCTGACCGTTCACGAACCACTTCGGACGGACTGATCGCAACGTGCAGGGTTCGTATTGCAATCCTAGCTGGCGGGCGCCAGCTTGCCACCATGGAAGCTTGCTTCAGCTTCCCAGCGTTTGGAGGACTCCTGAAGGATTCTTGAGGACTTCCGAAAAGAGTCTTGCGGTCTTGGAGGACCCTGGACGATTCCTGCTCGAGTCTTGGGGATTCCTGAAAGTTTCTTGGGCGTTCCCGAAAGATTCTTGAGGACCCCTGAACGATTCTAGGAGATTCCTGAAGGACGGCTGAAAGATTCTTGAGGATTCCAGACGGATTCTTGCGGATTTCTTGCGGGTTCTTGAGGATTCCTGTAAGGACCCTCCAGAAATTCTGAAAGTGTGTTGAAGATGTCACCAGGGCGCTTATGAGTCCTACACAATTCTTAAAGATTCCGGATGGATTCTGATGCCCGAAGGACCCTGGAGGATTCCGGGAGGATTCCTACCACATTCCTGACAAACTCTCGACGGATTTCTGATGGATTCCCGTCGGGTTCCCGAGGGAATCTGGGGGGGACTCCTGAGGGACTCTGGACTTCTGAGGGACTCTGGAGAGATTCCTGCGGGAGTCTTGTGGATCCCAGAGAACTTCAGAAACCCAAAAGATTCTTGAGGGCTCCCCAAGGATTCTTCAGGATTCCTGGAGGATTCTTGTGGGCCCCCTGGGGCCGTCCTGGGGCCCTCGCGGGGGCAATCTTCGGGCTAGGGTGGGGGTCTGGGGCCGTCTGGGAGCCCAGTGTGGGCCCCCTTGGGCAGCTCCTGTTGCGTCTCGGGGGGCCAACTGAAACTCCAGTAGACCGTCGGTGCCCTTTCTTGGGCCGACTTGGGGCCCCCTTGGGCCGTCTTGCTGTGCTCGTCAGGGCCTCCTGGGTCATCGCAGGGCGATCGCGAGCATGCCTGAAGCCGCGTGCCGCGCAATCTTTCACCATAAACTGTTCTCGCACGACGACCGTCATATAATGTGTGACTATTCCCATGTCTCGGAGCCTCATGCAACCATCGTACTTACAACCATGTAGATCCTCAAACTCCTTGATCAATTTTGCACACTCGGAAACATGACTACATTGACGAAAATGCGCCATAATTCGACGCGTTTTGCTGAGCTGTGGCTTGTCCGAACCATAGATACCCCAAGGAGAGAGGACGGGGACTACTTCTCGACTGGATGATTTGAGGTACGACCAGCCTGGTAGAATGGACTAAACGTCGCTGCAACATCGGATGGAGCAGACAAATCCTGCCCACACGTTGGATCTCCTAGGCCTGGATGGACGTAGAAGTTCGAATCAACATCCGCAACGACAAAACCATGCATTGGCTTCTGCACCGCTGCCGTAACATTGAACAGGTTGTCCATCTTTGCCTTGGTCTCCAAACGGGAAACCTGACCGACGATGCACACAGCCACCCGGCCTTGGCATGTTTGCCTGGCTGTCCAGGACTGTTGCGGGCGATGTCTGATCCAAGCTGGCCCCACTTCAACATCCGGATCTTCATTGGACGTCGTAGTGCTGCCGTCTTTGCTGAGATGTGGCATGCCCCAATTCAAGGCGGTGCATGATGAGACCAGCAACTGTATGAACATAACTCGCATGCGCGCGTGTGTCATTGTGCGCGTGCACTATACGGGGCGGCGTGTTTCAATCAAGCAGTCACAATGTATCTAATACAGTTTGCAATAAGATGGCCCTGAACCCGAGTGGCTTGAGCCCGAATCGCTTGCGCCAGGAGGAGGAGGAGGAGGAGGAGGCGGAGGAGGAGAAGGAGGAGGAGGAGGACCAGTGTAAACCCAAGAGTCACCAACGATGTTGGCCTACACCCTCCCTCCAAGCTCCCTCTTCATGGGCCCCTGAAACGGTTCATTTCCATTGAACGAACTGCCTCGTTGGAAGACAACCGTTTGAAGACCCTGAAGAATGCCAACACAATATCCTCGGGACTCCAACGCCACGGATCAACCTGAATCGCGCCAGAACGCCATTCCTGGGACTTCAACACCACGAATCAATGTAACAATGGCGCCCTCACAATCTTGAACCTTGCCAGGCACCATTACGGGTACGCTGATCACGGAAACCCGTGAAACTCTAGCAAACTTGTACAACGAATGTGCGCGGCGCTGAGGCGAGAACCACATGTTAAGAAAGAATCGCCCTCGACCCGTGAAATTCTTGCAAACTTTTACAAGGAATGTGGGCGGCGCTCAATCGATAATCACATTTTGACAAGGAGCCGCCCTCAATCCGTGAAGCTCTTGCGAATGTAGAAAACGAATATGCGGAGCGCCAATGTTGAAAATGGCCCGCCCCCAATCTGTGAAACTCTTGCAACTTCTGAAAACGAATGTGTACGGCCCCAAAGCGAGAACCACATGTTGAAAACCACCCGCCCAAAATGTGTGAAACTCTTGCATTTTTGTTTTAACGAATGTGCGCGGCGCTAACGCGAGAGCCACAAGTTGACCCCCCCCCGCCCTCAATCCGTGAAGCACTTGCCACTTTAGAAAACGAATGGGCGCGGCGCTAAAGCGAGAACCACATTTGGAAAACGACCCGCTACCAATCCGTGAAACTCTTGCACATGTTTAAAACGGATGTGCGCGGCGCTGAGGCGAGAACCACATTTTGAAAACGACCCGCCCCCCACCCGTGAAACGGCTGCCACTTCTGAAGCTTCAGGGTCATAAGCGGTGAGGAAGTCTCGGGCGAAACGCCCGGCCTGCCCTAAAAACAAGCCTCGGGGCGCGACAGAGAGAAAGCATTTAGAAGGCAAAGGAACGGAGGAGGAGGTGGGGCCGTCTGGGAGTCTTATTTGAGACCTCCTGCAGGATGCGGGCAGAACGTCGTTTGTGTTTAAACCGTCGTTTTCGTTTAAAACGGTGCAAAAAAACGAAAACGGCGAAATCCTCCAATCGACTCGCTTCGTTTCAAAACGTCGTGCGCGAAACGGAAAACTAAACGGTTGCGTGCTCGCTGCCCAGGAGGGCCTCCTGGGCAGCTCCTGGGGCGACTCGGGGTGCCGCTTGCAGCTCCCCAGACATCCGACGCCTCGATTTCTTCGAGACGCGGGCACCCGACCTCCCGACCGCTTCCCGGGGACCGGTTTTTCTTCCCGAGTCGTTTCTTGACGGTCCCGAGGCCCGGCGAGGGCCCCGAGAGGCCAAAAACTGAGAAAAAACTCCGTCTCGATTTCTCCGAGGCGCCCCATGTCTGGGTCTGCTCGGCTCTCCAGGGCCTGCTCTGTGGCCGCCTTGGGGCCCTCGTCGAGGGCCGCCTCGGCGGGCTCGCGTGGGAGCTGGTCGGGCCACCCCGGTGCGGTCTCAGAAGGACCCGGGGCCACGCGGGGCCGTTCTGGGCGTGTCATGGGGAGAGCGTGGAAAGCCTAGGACAATGCAGGGTTCTGGCTTGTTTGTTTCCGGCTCGCGGGGCCGTCATCGGGGTCCTCCTGGGCCCCCTTGGGCCGTCCCGGGGGCCTCTGGGGCCGTCCTGGGGCAGGTTGGGGGTCTCGGGCCGTCTTGGAGCTCGCTTTGGTGCCTGTTGGGCAATTCCCAGGGCCCTCTTGGGGGCCACTGGGAGCTCTATGAGGCTGTCTTGGGCTTCTCTTGGGCAGTCTTCGGGCCCTCCGGGGCCGTCTCGGGGCACTATAGGCGGGGCCTCCGGGACCGTCTTGAAGCAGCCCAGGATGTCGCCGCAGCCGCCTGGGGCCGTCCGTGGCCAGAGATGGCGAGGATACGGAACACCTTCAAACACCTGCGGGAAACGTGTGACCGTGGCCTCGGGGGGCGATCGTCGGGGTCCGGCTGGGCCGTCTTCGGGGGACGATCGTCGGACCGTCCTGGGCTGTCATGGTGGACGTTTTCTTATTCGGCGTTTCGACAGTGGGCGGAGAGGGGGGGGAGGGTGGAGGGTCTGGCTCTGGACCTCTGCTTCGTGCGACTGCTTGCAGCAGTCTGCGTCCTGTGGGGGAGAGGCTCCACCTGCTCGAAACCGGCGCCCCAGACAGCCAAGAGATCTGCTCCATTGCGGGTGGAGGGGGGGTGCGAGGTTGCCCGCGCCGACGGGCAGAAGAAGGAATCAGAAAACGACGACAGGGAGCTCCGTTTCGGGCTCCCTGGGGACGTCCTCGCGCCCTCTGGAGCAGCCCAGGGGGCTGTCCGAGAGGCCGTCCGTCCTGCGGCCCCCGAGGCCGTCTCGGAGCGCGGCGGGGCGCGTCGGGTGCAGTCGGGGGCAGCGGCCGCACTGCAGAGGCATACCTTACCTCCTCCTCGTCCTCCTCGTCCTCCTCCTCCTCCTCCTCCTCCTCCTCGTCCTCCTCCTCCTTACCCTACTCCTACCCCTACTCCTACTCCTTCTCCGCCTTCTCCTCCTCACCCTTCTCCTCCTCCTCCTCCTCCTCCTCCTCCTCCTCCTCTTCCTCCTCCTCCTCCTCCTCCTCCTCCTCCTCCTCATCCTCGCGCGCGCACGGCCCAGAAGTATAGTACAGATGACGCTGGGCTACAGCTTCGCATCCCGCACTTCGCTGAGCAGCGCCAAAGCCCACCTGCCACTGAGCGCCCTTTTATCGCACGCGCTGACCCCAGCGGCGCCACGGATGACGTTGGGCTCCGACTTCGCATCCCGCAACTCGCCGAGCAGCTGTCGACAGTGAGCTCCAACGCCAGCGTCGACATCTCGCTGAGCAGCGGCAGGGCCCGCTCTCGGTGCTCGCCCCTGTCATTCGTGCTGATCCTAGCGCCAAGGCGGACCCATGTAATTCTATCGACAACGGCTTCCTGGTCGATGGAATGCCGCTGCCAAATTCAAAATACGGGTGCCCGTCCACGCAACCACAATTCTTACCCAGCTGCGTCCCACAGGCACAGTGCTTCGCAAGAAACTCGAAAGCGCGAAAGACCGATCCCACGACAGCCTGGGAATCCTGCCAAACTGCCAGACGACCTCTCATACGCTGTGATGCTCAAGTGGTGGCTGAGTCCGTTCGGCTCCAAGTTCGTGTCCCGCATCTTGCCGAGCAGCGACAACGCCTGCCGCCACTGGGCGGACCTTTCACACGAGTAGATCCCAGCGTTGTAGCTGATGACATTGGGCTCCAGCTTCGCCTCCCACATCTCGCCCAGCAGCGCCAGCGCCCGCTGCCACTGCTGCCCCTTCTCGCAAGCACTGATCCCAGCGTTGAAGCTGATGACGTCGGGCTCCAACTTCGCCTCCCACATCTCGCCAAGCAGCGCCAGAGCCCGCCGCCACTGCCGACCCTTCTCGCACGCGCTGATGCCCGCGTTGAAGCTGCCGACGTCGGGCTCCAGCTTCGCCTCCCGCATCTCGCTCAGCAGCGCCAGAGCTCGCTGCCACTTCTCGCACTTCTCGCACGTGCTGATCCCAGCGTTGTAGGTGACTAGGGCCGACCTGTGGACCGCCGTCCACGAGTGCCAGAGAATGTAAGGTGCGCCTGCTGCTGCGTAGTGCTCCAGTGCGAGCAGTGTGCTTGATGGTTGTGTCGGCGTCCAGGGCAGCGCTTGCAACAGCAGCAGCAGCAACAGCAGCCGCAGCAACGGATCTAGCAGCATCGGTAGTAGTCCTAAAGCGAGTCGGAACGACGTGACTAGCAAAAGGGCAGAGGGAGCCGTGGGCAGAGAGGAGGAGGAGGAGGAGGAGGTCGAGTAGGAGAACGCCATCAACACGGAACAAAACCACACCCCACACCTCCTCGGACACGCGCCATGCGAGAGGGGCCCCTGAAAAAGCGTTCCTGTAGTTTGCGCCTCGGTCCAGAAACACTTCTTGTGGCCCGCGCGGGAGGTGTCCAAAGAGGTGTGGGGTGTGTTTTTCTCCAGTTGGGCGGCGCTTGTATGAATTTGCAGTGCACCCAGGGAGAGGGGTTATTGGACGTTTCTGCCGAGGCTTCTTGGGCAGCTTCTGGGAGCCTCTTGGGAGCGTCTCCAGGGCCTTCTGGGAGCCTCTCGGGGGCGGGCTCGCTGGCTTCGGAGACGGCCAGATGGAGGGGCATGCGCTCCAGAGTTGGCCTGCCTGGGCGTCGTGGGGGTTGCTTGGCTTGGCTGGGAGGCCTCCAGGGGCCTCTGGGGGACGTCTTGGGCGGTCCGAGGAGCTTCCTGGGGGGGCCGCCTTGGCTGCGTCGGGCCGATTTCGGAGGCCTCCAGTGCAAATCGGGCTAGATGGGGGGGAAGCGTCCCTTGGGGCAGTCTTGGGGGATTCTTGTGACGTCTTGGGGGCCTCTGGAGCGGTCTTGACTGCATCTTGGGCCGTCTTAGGGGCCTGACCGTCCAGGCCGCGTGGGACCCATGTAGGAGGTCTGGGAGACCTCTGGTGGTCTCTGGGGGGCATCTTGGTATGTCTTGGGGGCTTTCTGGGAAGTTGCCTGGGCCGCGTCGGGCTGACTCGGAAGCCTCCGGTACCGTATCGGGCTAGATGGGGGGAAGCGTTCAAAAGTCGGCCCTCTCGGGTCTCCTTTGGGGCCGTCTGGTGGGGATTCTTGGGCCGTCATGGGTGTCCCTGGGGCGGTCTTGAAGGCCTCTTGGGCCGCCTAACGGGCTCTGATGGGAGCCGCCAGGGCCGCGTTGGGGTCATGGCGGAGGCTTGCGGTGCAGTATTGGGCGTCATCGGGCCGCTGAAGCGGGCATCAGAGAAGCCACTAAAAAACCTTGACCATATCGATAGTTTTGCGTCCTCGCGGCCCTCCAAGGGGTTCTCCGCGAGGCCCGTGGAGCTGGGTTGGGTCCCCTGAGGCCGTCGTTGGTGCTCTCTTGGGCTCTCTGGAGCCCTCTGGGGGCTCCCTGGATAGAGGGCAGAACATCCACCCCGACAAGAACAAGCCCGACAAGCGAAGCCGTTTAGCAAACGCGCCCCAGGAAGGAATCGAACAGGGCGGGGCTGTCTAGTAAACGTCCGGGGCCTCGTAGTAAACGACAGTTGTCGAGGTCTGGGTGCTTCCTCCTCCCTGGACTGGAGGCCCTCGGGGCTCTCCGAGGGCTCCATGGGGCCGTCCACGCGAGCGGAGCCGTCGAGGCGCTGCCCCTCGGGGGGTCCGGCGTCGGGGTGGCGTGTTTGGCCCCCCCCTGGCACGCGGGATGCCCGGTGTGGTCGTACAGCGCGGGCGCAGTCGCAAAAGAAGCCCTCGCGAGAAACCCAACCCTGGAAGCCCGCGCGCGAGGTGCACCCGAGGGAAGGACCCGAGCACCCTGAATGCAGCAGCTCCCTCGACGGCCGCGGGACGGAAACGTCACCGCGCAGCGCGCGGAACGAGGAAACCCCGGATGCCCAAGCAGGTGGTTTCTTGGTGCGCGCCCCCACTGTACAGGTAGACTTATCTGGGGCGCGTCCCCCTACAGGGGGATTTTCGACAAAACATTACCCTGGCGACGTACCCAACCCCTGCGCTAACGCGGGGCGCAAATAGTTCAGGACACTTTATACAAGGGGGGCGATGACGGAGCGAGGGTTACATATGTCTGCAAACGGAATTCGGGAGACTCGCAGGACACTGGCTACAGGACAAGGACTAGATAAAGCTGATTAGTTGCAATCCCTGAGCAACCCTAGCCACTTCGAAAGCGGGGATCTCATATCGCAGCACGGCGAGGTCCCGCTCAGGTCCGCGCGGTGCCTCACTCCGCAGGACCCACCAGCAGCCTTCGAAAGTGGCGACGGCTTCGCAAATCGCAACCCCCCAGGGACGGCGAGGTCCCGCTCAGGCCCGCGCGGTGCCTAATTCCGCAGGAACCACCAGCACCCTTCGAAAGTGGCGGCAATTTCGCAGATCGCAGCCCTCCAGGGATGGCGGGGTCCCGCTCAGGTCCGCGCGGTGCCTCACCCCGCATGACCCACCAGCAGCCCTCGAAAGTGACGACCGTTTCGCGGAACGCAGCCCCCCAGGGACGGCGAGGTCCCGCTCAGGTCCGCCTGCCAGAAGCCCATGCGCGCCAGGTGAGCCAAGCGCGCCAGGCGCGCCAGGTGTGCCAGGTGCGCTAGGTGCGCCAGGTGCGCCAGGTGCGCCAGGTGCGTCAGGTGCGCCAGGCGCGCCAGGCGCGCCAGGTGCGCCAGATGCGCCAGGCGCACCAGGTGAGCCAAGTGTGCGCCAGGTGTATGCCAGGTGTGCGCCGAGTGAGCCAGGTGCGCCAGGTGTGCGCCAGGTGTGCGCCAGGTGCGCCTAGCGCGCCAGGTGCGCCAGGTGCGCCAGGTGCGCGCCAGGCGCGCCATGCGCGCCAGGTGCGCCAGGCGCGCCAGGCGCGCCAAGTGAGCCAGGTGTGCGCCAGGTGTGCGCCAGGTGTGCGCCAGGTGCGCCTAGTGCCCCAGGTGCGCCAGGTGCGCCAGGTGCGCCAGGTGTGCGCCAGGTGTGCGCCAGGTGCGCCTAGCGCGCCAGGTGCGCCAGGTGTGCGCCAGGTGCGCGCCAGGCGCGCCAGGCGCGCCAGGTGCGCCGCTTGCGCCAGGCGCGTCAGTTGCGCCATGCGCGCCAGGCGCGCCAGGTGCGCCAGGTGCGCCAGGTGTGCCAGGTGCGTCAAGTGCGTCCAGCGCGCCAGGTGCACCAGGTGCGCGCCAGGTGCCCCCAGCGCGCCAGGTGCGCCAGGTGCGCCCAGCGCGTCAGGTGCGCGCCAGGTGCGCGCCAGGTGCGCGCCAGGCGCGCGCCAGGTGCGCCAGTTGCGCCAGGTGTGCGCCACGTGTGCGCCAGGTGCGCGCCAGGTGCGCCAGGTGCGCCAGTTGCACCAGGTGTGCCAGGCGCGCCAGTTGCGCCAGGCGCGCCAAGTGAGCCAGGTGCGCCATGTGCGCCAGGTGCGCCAGGTGCGACAGGCGCGCCAGGTGCGCCGGGTCTGCGCTAGGTGTGGAAGGTGCGCCAGGTGCGCCCAGCGCGCCAGGTGCGCCAGGTGCGCCAGATGCACCAGATGCACCAGGCGCGCCAGGCGCGCCAGGTGCGGCAGGTGCGGCAGGTGCGGCAGGTGCGTCAGGTGCGACTAGCGCGCAAGGTGCGCCAGGTACGCGCCCTGTGCGCCCAGCGCGTCAGGTGCGCCAGGTGCGCCAGGTGCGCCAGGTGCGCGCCAGGTGCTCGCCACGTGCGCGCCAGTGCGCGCCAGATGCGCCAGGTGCGCCACGTGTGAGCCAGGTGCGCCAGGTGCGACAGGTGCGACAGGTGCGCCAGGTGCGCCAGGCGCGTCAGGTGCGCCAGGTGCGCGCCAGGTGCGCCACGTGCGTCAGGTGCGTCAGGTGCGCCCAGCGCGCCAGGTGCGCGCCAGGTGCGCCCCCCAGCCTTGGGCGCCAGCGCCGTGGCGTCACTGTGCAGGGCCCCCCAGCAGGCCTCGAAAGTGGCGACAGTTTCACAGATCGCAGCCCCCCAGGGATGGCGAGGTCTAATTTGAATCTGCGTGTGGCCCTCACTGTGCTGGGCCCCCCAGCAGGCCTCGAAAGTGGCGACAGTTTCACAGATCGCAGCCCCCCAGGGATGGCGAGGTCTAATTTGAATCTGCGTGTGGCCCTCACTGTGCTGGGCCCCCCAGCAGGCCTCGAAAATGGCGACAGTTTCACAGATCGCAGCCCCCCAGGGATGGCGAGGTCTAATTTGAATCTGCGTGTGGCCCTCACTGTGCTGGGCCCCCCAGCAGGCCTCGAAAATGGCGACAGTTTCACAGATCGCAGCCCCCCAGGGATGGCGAGGTCTAATTTGAATCTGCGTGTGGCCCTCACTGTGCTGGGCCCCCCAGCAGGCCTCGAAAGTGGCGACAGTTTCACAGATCGCAGCCCCCCAGGGATGGCGAGGTCTAATTTGAATCTGCGTGTGTCCTTCACTGTGCTGGGCCCCCCAGCAGGCCTCGAACGTGGCGACAGTTTCACAGATCGCAGCCCCCCAGGGATGGCGAGGTCTAATTTGAATCTGCGTGTGGCCCTCACTGTGCTGGGCCCCCCAGCAGGCTTCGAAAATGGCGACAGTTTCACAGATCGCAGCCCCCCGCAGGCAAGACAGGAAGAGGCAGGGAGGGAGGCGACCACACTGCTCTATTCAAAACGAATACCCAACCAAGGAGGGTTGGGAAGCGACGCGCAAAAGCGGGGCGCAAATAGTTTAGGATACTTTATAAGGGGGCGATGACGGAGCGAGGGTTACATATGTCTGCAATTCGGGAACAGGACACTAGGGCTTGATAAAGCTGATGATTTACAATTCCTGAGCACTCCTAGCCACTTCGAAAACGGGGATCACAGCAGGCCTCGAAAGTGGCGACAGGTTCACAGATCGCAGCCCCGCAGGGATGGCGAGGTCTCATTTGAATCTGCCCGTGGCCCTCACTGTGCTGGGCCCCCCAGCAGGCCTCGAAAATGGCGACAGTTTCGCAGATCGCAGCCCCCCAGGGATGGCGAGGTCTAATTTGAATCCGCGCGTGGCCCTCACTGTGCTGGGCCCCCCAGCAGGCCTCGAAAATGGCGACAGTTTCGCAGATCGCAGCCCCCCAGGGATGGCGAGGTCTAATTTGAATCCGCGCGTGGCCCTCACTGTGCTGGGCCCCCCAGCAGGCCTCGAAAATGGCGACAGTTTCGCAGATCGCAGCCCCCCAGGGATGGCGAGGTCTAATTTGAATCCGCGCGTGGCCCTCACTGTGCTGGGCCCCCCAGCAGGCCTCGAAAATGGCGACAGTTTCGCAGATCGCAGCCCCCCAGGGATGGCGAGGTCTAATTTGAATCCGCGCGTGGCCCTCACTGTGCTGGGCCCCCCAGCAGGCCTCGAAAATGGCGACAGTTTCGCAGATCGCAGCCCCCCAGGGATGGCGAGGTCTAATTTGGGTCCGCGCGTGGCCCTCACTGTGCTGGGCCCCCCAGCAGGCCTCGAAAATGGCGACAGTTTCGCAGATCGCAGCCCCCCAGGGATGGCGAGGTCTAATTTGGGTCCGCCCGTGGCCCTCACTGTGCTGGGCCCCCCAGCAGGCCTCGAAAATGGCGACAGTTTCGCAGATCGCAGCCCCCCAGGGATGGCGAGGTCTAATTTGGGTCCGCCCGTGGCCCTCACTGTGCTGGGCCCCCCAGCAGGCCTCGAAAATGGCGACAGTTTCGCAGATCGCAGCCCCCCAGGGATGGCGAGGTCTAATTTGAATCCGCCCGTGGCCCTCACTGTGCTGGGCCCCCCAGCAGGCCTCGAAAGTGGCGACAGTTTCACAGATCGCAGCCCCCCGCGGGCAAGACAGGAAGAGGCGGGAGGCGGGAGAAGGGACGCGACCACACTGCTCTATTCAAAACGAATACCCAACCAAGGAGGGTTGGGAAAAATACCCCAACAATACCCCCAGAGGGTAAAAAAAAAACTCCAAAAATAGTCCCCGGACAATCTTTATTTCATTTTTGGGTCCCCCGGGCCAAGTGTGCCCCCAGAGGAGGACTTCCACGGAGGCCACCGAGGCCCCCAGATAACACCCCTCACGAGGGCGGCAGGGCCCCCTCCGGCCAGGGGCACCTTTAGCATTAGGTCGGGCCTGTCCCCCTGCAGGGGGATTTGCGACGAAGAATAAAAAATACACCAGAAGTAATCCCAAAAGAATGCAAACATAGTCTGGGGACTATTTTTTGAACATGTTTTGACCTTTTTGGGGTATGTTTGGGGTATGTCTAATTTTTCTTCGAAAATCCCCCTGTAGGGGGACAGGCCCGACTTAACTTTAGCAGCCCCCGAATCTATGACGCTGGGCTTCAGCCTCGCCTCCCGCGTCTCACTCAGCAGCACCAGCGCCCGCTGCCACTGCGCGCCCTTTTCGCACGCGCTGATCCCAGCGTTGTAGCTGATGACTGGTGTGCACCCGTGCTCGCTGACCCGTGGGCTCCGTCCACGACGTGCTGCCACGAATTGGCAAGTGATCTGCGCTCGCCGCCCACACCTCGCTGAGCAGGGCGGCGCCGGGCGACACTTCTGGCCGTCTCGCCTGGCCAGCGGGCGCGAGGTGGGAAAGTCGACGACACTGTAAGCAGAAAAAGCAGAGGAGGAACAGGCGGAGGAGGAGGAGGAGGAGGAGGAGGAGGAGGGAGAGGAGGAGGAGGAGGAGGAGGAGGAGGAGGAGGAGGAGGAGGAGGAGGAGGAGGAGGAGGAGGAGGAGGAGGAGGAGGAGGAGGAGGAGAAGAGGTTCGCTTGGGGCCTCCTTCAGGGCCCCAGAGGGGCCAATGAGCGGCCCCAGAGCGGCCCACGTGAGCCTCACGAGGGCTCCAAGGGGGGGTCCAGGAGTACTGCACGTACATGCCATACTCTTGGGCCGCTGTTGGGGTCTTCTTGGGGCCCTCTTGGCGCCCTCTTGGAGCCTCCTTCAGGGCTTCAGAGGTGCCAAGGACAGCCCCAGAGCGGCCCACGTGAGCCGCAGGAGGGCTCCATGGAGGGCCCCAGGATAAATGTATGGCCGTGCCATACTTTTGGGCCGCTCTTGTGGTCTTTTTGGGGCCCTCTTGGGAGGCCTCCTTCAGGGTCCCAGAGGGGCCAATGAGCGGCCCCAGAGCGGCCCAAAAGAGCATAATAGTTTTCAATGTTCGGGCTCTCTTGAGGCTCTGTCTGGAGCCCGCTTGGAGCACTGCGGGGGCCTCTTCGGCCGTCGGGCGGCTGTCTTGGGCGGCATCAAGCGCTCGGCATCATACTTTTGGGCCGTCTTGGGCCGTCTTCGGGCCCTTCTTGGGGTGGGGCCGCCATGGGCGTCTCAGGAGCCGTCGCAGTGCTGAGCCGTCTGCGGGCCCTGCTGGCAGCCTCCTGAGGCGTCTTGAGACGATCTTCAAGGCATGTGTGGCCGCCTTGGGCGCTGCGAAGACGAAAAGCACGGGAACCCCGGAAATCTACGTTTTCCCTAGGGATTGGTGTAGAGCGAATTGTAATAGAGACTGGTGTGCACCCGTGCTCGCTGAATTGCTGTCACCCCGTGGGCTCCGTCCGCGACGTGCTGCCACGAATGGGCAAGTGATCTGCGCTCGCCTCCCACACGTCGCTGAGCAGGGCGGCGACAGGCAACACTTCCGCCCGCCTCGCCTGGCCAGCGGGCGCGAGGTGGGAAAGTCGACGACACTGTGAGCAGAAAAGGCAGAGGAAGAAGAGGCGGAGGAGGAGGAGGAGGAGGAGGAGGAGGAGGAGGAGGAGGAGAAGGAGGAGGAGGAGGAGGAGGAGGAGGAGGAGGAGGAGGAGGAGGAGAGGCTCTCTTGGGACCTCCTTCAGGGCCCCCGAGGGGCCGCGCCAGCGGCCCCTGGAGGGGGCCAGTCCAAGGCCTCTGGTCGACCCTTTGGCGAGCGGTGAACTCTGCACTGTACGCAGTAGACATGACAAGTGTGGACCCGTGGGTGAAGTCCACGGTGTGCTGGACCTGGGGCTCGCACATCGTGGGTGAACAGCTCGTCGGAGTTGAACAGCTCGGGCGTCGCGTCCCTCGGGCCGCATCGGGGCGGGCCGGGGCGGTCGGGGGCCTGGGGCAGGTCGGAGCGGTCGGGGGCCAGGGGTGGAGCCTGGGGCTTGATTGGGGGCTGGCAGGGGAAGGTGCCCCTTGTCACCCCTGTCTGGGTTCCTGGGGCCATGGTCTGAGGGCCCCAGCTCCAGGGCTGGAGGAGGGCCCCACGATCCGAGACTGCGGATCCTGAAAAAGGAGAGCGCGTGCTGCGGCTGGGGGCGCCAGAGGAGCCTCTTGCAGCCTGGTGTGGAGTCTGGGGCTTGGTGCGGGGCTTGGTGCGGGGCTTGTGGGCGGAGGAGGAGGAGGAGGAGGAGGAGGAGGAGGAGGAGGAGGAGGAGGAGGAGGAGGAGGAGAAGCATGAGGAGTATGATGATGAAGGAGGAGGAGGAGGAGGAGGAGGAGGAGGAGGAGTACGAGGAGCATGAGGAGTATGAGGAGGAGGAGGGAGGAGGAGGAGGAGGAGGAGGAGGAGGAGGAGGAGGAGGAGGAGGAGCATGAGGAGTATGATGATGATGATGAGGAGGAGGAGGAGGAGGAGGAGGAGGAGGAGGAGGAGGAGGAGGGGCCATGGGGACGGTCCTCCGTGTCACCCCTGCTGAGGGGTGCCTGGGGACGACGGTCTGAGGGCTTCCTGCTCCGGGGCCGGAGGGGCGTCCACGGTCCGCAGGTTCTTCTTAGGGCAGGTCGGGGTGGTCCACTAGGCCTGTGTGGGGTCCTGAGCTTGCTTCCCAGAACCCCTCGAGTCATGAACAAAATCACGACGTAAGGTTTTTCGCTATTTTCGGCCTCCGGGGGCCCTTACCGGCCCTCAGGACCGTCAAAAAACGACTCAGGATGAAAAACCAGTCCCGGGGAATGGGTCCGGACCTCTGGGGGTCGCGTCATGAAAAAATCATGACGTCGGGGGTCTGGGTTCGGGGCTTCTTGGTCTGAGGAAGGTCTCTCATGTCACCCCCTGCCCGGGTGCCAATGGGGTGGAGGTCCGAGGGCTCGCCGATCTGGGGCTGGGCGCCCCGGAGACGCGCTCGGCGGCCCGCGGAGCGCATCCGAGGCAGGCGCGACGAAGTCGCAGCAGAACAGCTCGTTGGACCTGAGCAACCTCGCGAAGCTGTTGGTCTTCAAGAGCTCTGAGGGCTCAGAGGTCCAGAGCACACACGTGAGGCTCTCGAGAAAGTCAGGGAGAGCTCAGAGTGGTCCAGGGCCCGGCTGGGGTCTGGGGCGCGGTGCGCCTGGGGTACGACAGGAGGCGCTTTAGAAGGTCTGAGGCAGCTCGGAATGGTCTAGGGCTCGGGGTGGTGTGTGCGGCAGATGAGACTGGTCTGAGTGGTCTGGGCGCCAGTGGGGTCTGGAGCGTGTTGCGGCTGTGGAGCGACACGAGGCGGTTGACAAGATCTGGAATAGCTCAGAGTGTCTAGGGCTCGGGGTGGGGTATGGGGCTTGGTCTGGGGCTTGCGAGCGCGTGGGAAGGGACCCCCCCTTGTCACCAATACTGCGAGGCCTGGTATCTGATACCGTGGGAACATACCGCGGCCGCGGCTGGGGTCGATAGAAAGCTCCTGAGAGAGTCTGGGGAAGCTCAGTGGTCCAGGGCCTGGGGTGGGGTTGCTTCCGGCCGGCGTCATGGGGAGGTCCTTCTGGAGCTGTTGGGGGGCGTCCTGGAGGCTATCTGGGAGGCCGTCGGGGGGCGAGAGGGCTCGGTGTGGGGTATGCTACTTGGTTTGGGGCTTGCGGGGAGCCGTCTCGGGGCGATGCGGGTGTCGTGGAGCCGTCGGCACGCGCCCAGGGGCCCTCTGGGGCCATCGGGGAGCATGCCGAAGGCTCTCTGTGAGGCCGTCTTGGTCCGAGCTGGGGGCCCGCGAGCCGTCGGCGAGCGGCCCAGGGGCCTTCTGGAGGTGTCGGGGCTCGTTGGGAACGCACGGGGCTTGCTTTGGGGCTCACGGGGGGCCGTCTGGGGGCGATGTGGGTGTCGCAGAGCCGTCGGGCGAGCGGCCCAGGGGAGGAGGAGGAGGAGGAGGAGGAGGAGGAGGAGGAGGAGGAGGAGGAGGAGGAGGAGGAGGAGGACGAGGAGGAGGAGGGGGAGGAGGAGGAGGTGGGGAGCGTGCAGAAGGCTGCCCGTCCCGGGCCGCACCGGGGGGGCCCGGGAGCCGCGCTGGGGGCCGCCGGGGCCGTCGGCGAGCGGCCCAGGGGCCTTGGGGAGCCGTCGGGAGGCGTCCTGGAGGCGCCCGGGGGCGTGTTCTCGGCGTGCTCCTCCCGCCCCGCGGGCTCTCGGGGCACCCCGGGGCGGGCTTTCGACGAAAAGGGGCCTTCCGGAGCCGTCGGGAGGCGTCCTGGAGGCGCCCGGGGCGTGTTCTCGGCGTGCTCCTCACGCCCCGCGGGCTCTCGGGGCACCCTGGGGCGGATTTTCGACGAGAAGGGGCCTTCCGGAGCCGTCGGGAGGCGTCCTGGAGGCGCCCGGGGCGTGTTCTCGGCGTGCTCCTCACGCCCCGCGGGCTCTCGGGGCACCCCGGGGCGGGCTTTCGACGAGGAGCTGGTTTCGCACGCGCTTCGGCCAGAGTTGTGGTACGGATAGATCAGGGCGGGCTCCAGCTCCATCTCCAGCATCTCGCGGAGCAGCGACAGGCCACGCTGCCACTGCTCGCCCTTCTCGCACGCGCTGATCACAGCACTGCAGATGGTGACGTCGGGCTCCACCTTCGCGGCCAGCATCTCGTTGAGCAGCGATATGGCCCTCGGCCACTGCTCACCCTTCTCGCACGCGCTTATGGTAGCGCTGTAGCTGATGACTGGGGCTCACGCGTGGGCTACCGTCCTTTCAGGGTTGGTTGACTGGGGTGAGCATCGCTTACCTGGTGAACTGCTTGCCTGCTGTTCTGCTTACGCAGAAGCCAGGTTGGCGGCCCGCACATTTGTGGCCTGATCGCCTGCGTTCTTTATGTACTGCTTCCGTGCATTGCCCGTCCGCTCGCTGCCGCTCGCTGCCGCTCGCTGATGCCTGGTGTCGTGTGGTGTTGCGTCCTGCTGCTTGCTGCATGTCGCAACCACTGGCCGCTGCTTGTTGGTGCGTTCTGACACTTGCTGTGGATTGCTGTTGCTGCGTGCTGCTGCTTGGTGCAACATGGTGCTGAGTGCCTGCTTCGGCTGCCTGCTGCTGCTGCGTGTCTCTGCTAGTCTGCCGCTGCCGCTGCTGGTGCCGTTTGCTGCTGCGGCGCACTGTTGCAGGACGAGCGTGCTTGCTAATCAATGGTGCGTGCTGCGTTCTTCTACCGAGGTGTTTGCTGCTGCTGCTGCCGCCCGTACCTGCTGCTCCTGCTTGCTGCTGTTGCGTACTGCTGCCGCTTGTTGCTGCCGCTCGCTGCACCCTGCTTGTTGCATGCTGCGTGCTCTGGAGGCCGCACTCTCTGGAACCGTACCTAGCAGATGTGGTCCGTCGAGGCCTCCCAGTTTGGGTCCGCATCGAGCAACATCGTCGATGCATCGGCGATGCGGCGCGATTCTCCGACTTCATCTATTCGGGCCCCTTACATGAGGCTTAGATTCGCAAACTCTCTGGAACCAGTTTGCTGAGCGTCCAGACCCTCCAGAGTAACCCTCTCAGGCCTTCTTAGCGCGCTCTGGGGGGGCTCTCTTGGTAATTGTTCGGCCCTTGCTTGGGCCCCACGCGCGCTTTTTGGGGCGTATCAGTCCCATAGTGGGGCCCAGAAATGGCAGGGCAGGTTTTTCCCCAAACCATCGTGTGGTGTTGGGTCCTCGTTTTGAAGAGACAGCGCCCCGCGTCCCTCCTCACTCCCTCCTCCTCCTCCTCCTTCTCCTCCTCCTCCTCCTCCTCCTCCTGCTTCTGCCTTTCGCATGCCAACCAGTTCGCCACACCCCTCACGCGTTTCGTGACCCCATATGGAGCTCCACCGAAGGCACACGAGGCGACGTTCGCATGTGGCTCCCGCCCAGTTCAGCACACCCCTCACACGACTCGTAGCCCCATAGAGAGCTCCGTCTGAGGCCCCAGTGGTAACGTTCGCATGCGGTTCTCCGCCCACGTCGGCACACCACTCACGCGTTTCGTGGCTCCATAGGGAGCTCCGTCTGAGACCCCAGTGGCGACGTTCGCAGGCGGTTCTCCGCCCGCTTCGGCTCACCACTCAGACGTTTCGGGGCCCCCGTGGGAGCTCCGCCTAGGGCCCCAGTGGCGACGTTCGCAGGCGGTGGCCCGCCCATTTTCGGCAAACTCCTCACACGCCGGCAGCCTCCACCGGAGGCCCCAGTGGCGACGTTCGCACGCGCCCCCCCCCTGGCCCATTGCGGCACACTCCTCACACGTCCCGTGGCCCGACCCGCGCCTGCATGGCACCGCTGGTTCACCCCTCACACGTCTCGTGGCCCCCGAGGGAACCCCCGCGAAAGCTTCAGTGGCGACGTCCGCCTGCGGACCCCAGACGCATTTCTGCGCACCCCTCACACGCCTCGTGGCGCTATAGGGAACTCTACCGAAAGGTGCAGTGGCGACGCTCGCGTGCGGGCCCCAGAACGATGTCGGCACACCCCTCACACGTCTCGTGGCCCCAAGAGACACCGACAGCCCCAATGGCACAATTCACATGCGCACGCTCACCACCATTACGGCAAGCCCCTCGCGCGCTTCGTAGCGCCAGAGGGAGCTCCACCGAAGAATTCTGCCAACGGTGGTACTCACAACTGCATATGGTTGGAACTTTCGCAAAAATAATGTTGACGTAAAAATGCCTCTGGAACATGGAAACCGTAAGAAGAAAACGCGGCCCCCGAAAACTGTGAAAAAAAGGTTCTGGAAGTAGATCCAGGGCCAGAAAATAAACGACGGCGACAAAACCAACGAAAAATTTGAAAAGACGCCCGGTCTCTTCCAGAGCCCACTACGACCAGTCCATCTTGGTGCTTTCTTGGAGGCTTCTGGGGGTCTCTTGCCGCTTCTGGGGGTCTCCTGCCCCACCTGGGACCTCTTGGGGCGCTTTGAAGCCGTCGCGGGAATCTCCGAAGGTGTCATCCAGTCCGAACTGCCTGCTGCCACTCGCACTTCTGGACTGCACTGCGTCAGATCATGCAGAAGAGGTGACGTCTGGCTCCAGCTTCGCCTCCATCATCTCGCCGAGCAGCCCGAACGCCTGCGGCCACCTGCACGACTTCTCGCACGCGCTGATCCCAGCGTTGTAACTGAAGGCGTTAGGCTCCAGCCCGTCCGCCCGCATGCTCCTGAGCAGTAACACGGCCCGCTGCCACTGCTCGCCTTTCTCGCACGCGCTGATCGCAGCACTGTAGATGATAACGTCGGGCTCCAACTCCATCTCCAGCATGTCGTGGAGCAGCGACAGACCCCGTTGCCATTGCTCGCCCTTCTCGCACGCGCTGAGCACGGCACTGTAAGTAATGACGCCGGGCTCCACCTTCACAGCCAGCATCTCGTTGAGCAGCGATATGGCCCTCGGCCACTGCTCACCCTTCTCGCACGCGCTGATCCCAGCACTGTAGCTGACCAGTGCGAGCTCGTGTACTTCCATCCACAGCAAGCTGCACGTGTCCCTAGAGTTCGTGGCCAAGTCGTGATGAGATGCGCTGTGTAGACCACTGCCACGCTGGAGGCTAAAACCGCCTGGGGTGGCGCGACTTTGCTGCGGATGGCTCACGCGGTCGGTGGCCTGCCCTGCGAGGTATGCTGGGCCTTCTCT